TATGTCTCACTGACTGCAGGAGAACATGGACCACTGGATTTGCTCCTTCACTGTATCCAACAGATCAGTGACTGGATGCAAAATAATTTCCTCCAGCTAAATGCAGACAAAACCGAAATCATTGTCTTTGGTCCCCAGAAACAAAGAGAGGGCGTCATTTGTCAACTTCAGTCTCTCTCCCTACTTCCTTCAGACAAGGTCAGAAATTTGGGGGTAATACTGGACTCAGACCTAAATTTCAATAGCCACATAAAATCAATAACATCAACAGCTTTTTACCATCTGAAGAACATTGCCAAAGTTAGAAATATAGTGTCCAGGGCAGACTTGGAGATTCTTGTCCATGCATTTGTCTCCAGCAGGCTAGACTACTGCAATGGCCTGCTTACAGGTCTGTCCAAACAGACCTGTAAGCAGCTGCAGTACATCCAAAATGCAGCAGCTAGAGTCCTGACAGGAACCAGGAAGTATGACCATATTAGTCCGGTCCTCAGGTCTCTGCACTGGCTTCCTGTGGCTCAAAGAATAGATTTTAAAACGGCTCTGCTTGTGTACAAGTCTCTCCATGGCCTTGCACCAGAATACATTAGTGACATGTTGGTGTCATATGAACCGGCCCGGACTCTGAGGAGCACAGGGACTGGCCTCCTGCTGGGACTCTGAGGAGCACAGGGACTGGCCTCCTGCTGGTGCCCAGAGTGAGAACCAAACATGGGGAGGCTGCGTTTCAGATCCATGCAGCTAAGATCTGGAACAATCTCCCTGAAAATGTGAGGGAGGCGTCTACTCTGTCAATGTTCAAATCCAGGTTAAAGACTGTTCTGTTTGCCTGTGCATATAACTGAAGGATTTTATCTCCATTTTTAATGCACTGCTGTCATTTATTTATTTTTTTTAAATTTCTTGTGTAATTTTGAAAGTTTTAATGGTTTTATTCTTTTGTGTGATTTTACTGTTTTAATTGTGTTTTAATCTTTTGTGTGATTTTAATGTTTTAATTGTGATTCTGGTGTTTGTTTTATGTGATGATTTGTGATGTGGACTGTGAAGCGCTTTGTGTTGCCCTGTGTATGAAAGGCGCTCTACAAATAAACTTTGATTGATTGATTGATTGACTCGGCCCGGCTAGAACCAGGGCCAAGCCGTTACTAAAAAAGTACCGGGTAGCGGCTAAAGCGAGCCGGTGGAAACGCCCACAAACCGGGGAGAGTCGAGTAGAGTAGAGTTGGGCCCTTTAGACAGCTGCCCCTGCGATCCGGTGATGGATAAAGCAGAAGAATGTTTGGATGGATGCACTGTTACGGCCTGTAGATTTCTCCCCGTTATGAATTGTGTGTGTTTTTGTGTGCGTGTGTGGCAACCCCTCCTGTGTAAAGATCCCCGGCCTGTGATTGGAGAACCACTGGCCCTCCCGCCTCCCAGACGTCCTTGACTCAGGTGCTGATTGGAGGAGCAGCGGTGCACCTGGCCAATCCAGCGTCCCCACCTGGAGTCACTCTGCACTTAAGGCCACACTCCGCACCTGTTTGGGGCTGCAGCCTGTGTGTGGCTGGTCTGTCATTGTGCTTATGATGTCCTTATGAAAGTGTCTGTCAGTGTCACATGGTGGCACCGACTTAAAGAGCGACTAAACACCTGTGCACAGCCTTACTCCGCCCACATGAACATTTGAAAAGTTTCTTTTAAAAGGGCGTTGCCTGGAGGACCAAGGGACAAGAAGGGGGGCTTAGAGTTGGGCGTGGTCTGGGCTGTGATTGACAGCTCACTTGTCTCACTAAAAAAAACAGACAGTTGTCATTGCTGCTTAAAGCAATAGTTTACAGACCAGAAAGTCTCATTCCACCCTTGTTTACACACTTAGATAATTGTAAAGCTACACGCCTGAACCTAATCACACTCAATAATCTCAGAATTACTCATGTAATTTAATTTTAATCCACTAGATGGCGCCAGAATACTCCAAACTGCAGCTGGGGCGTGTGTGAGAGTTGAATGGGTTCACATCACTGGCTCTGACAGACTGACGTCACACAAAACAACTGATGTCATAGAGAACTTCAGAGTCAATGGAGAGGCCAGAACCAAATTCAAATGTAGTACCACCAAAAAGGTTGAGAGGGCGCCACACAGACGTTTTTTGGCTCAAAAGTGATATTTTATCTAATTTGAACTAAAATTGTTTTTGTGACACTTTGATCGGGACATCGGTTGAGACAACAGTCAGTTTAGTATTTTGTTCTATGTGGTTTAGTGTTAAGTGTTTAGTGTAGGTTTTATTTTGGTAATGTTGAGTTACCCCCTTATGTCCTGTGGTGTCCTTTTGATTTATGTCCTTATCATTTTCATTCCTGTTATCAGGGGGGTAGCACCAAATTCAGGGCCCCGGGTACAAACAGTCTCAATGGGCCCCCACTACACGTTTCTTATATATATATATATATATATATATATATATATATATATATATATATATATATATATATATATATATATATATATATATATATAATTTAATTAGTTAATACAATTCTGATTCATGTCCTTTGGTTTTATTATCATCAATATTGTTGATGGCTATTAGCGGACTTGGCATACTGGAGATAATTTGGGAATGGTTTGCCCTCCATATCTTTGGGTATGGTATTGCCTGTTTTTGAACCACCATCACTGGCTAGTAGATGAACAATTATTTTCCTTTGTTTATCGGTGAGATTCTCTGGCCATAATCCTGGGTCCTCTGACAATCCCTCATCATTATTACTCTGTCTCTTGGTGTCGTCTCTTTCCTCCTCAATCCTCTCCACATTCTCATCACTTTCGCTTTCCCTTTCATCACTTAATTCAGTTTCTACATCCTCTTCTAATTCTGCCTCTGCCTCTGCTACATGGACACAATACAGACAAAAATGATATAGAATTAGTGTATACAGTAAAACTTATAAAGTAATAACTTACTAACTTATTGAAAACAGTTCAATCAGTGACTGATAAATGCTCACCATGCCTCACTGTCAAACCCTCACTACTAGTGCCTTCATCTGGCCATGATGCTTCTCTTCCTGAAACTGAAATAAAGTAGCTTTAATGGGTTGCAAACAGATACTATATTCCATAATTACAGTGTATAGCTATTACGTATATGCCTGCATGCCTTTATGTGATATGTGTATATGGCTATTCATATAAAATATATAGTATATCTTATCTTATTTGTATGGACCATGAGTAGGTAAGTTACTTATTTGTTATTGTACAAACATACAACAAAATACTTTTTATGGTTCATTATTATCCACCAATTTAGACTTTGTGAAAATTCAATCGATGCAATCTTTTTTGAAATAAGCCTATTCCATTTTCAACTAAACACCTGTGCCTAGCCTTACTCCGCCCACATGAACATTTGAAATTTGTCTGTAAAAATGGCACCAGTGGAGAAGAAGAGGGGCTTACAGTTGGGCATGGTCTGGGCTGTGATTGTCAGTTGTCATTTCTGGCTTAAAAGCAATAGTTTACACACCAGAAAGTCTCATTTCACCCTTTAGACCATTAGACTTATTTACATTATTTTGACCACTAGATGTCACCAGAAAACTACAAATCGGTGCGGACTGCGGGGGCGTGTGATTTGTATGGTTATAACCAGATGATCCAATGCAGAGGCCAGTGAGTGACCCGTGACTTATGACTGCAAGACTCACGGACGGACAGATTATGACAATAGTGGGAATATAGGGTACAGGGTTGTACATGAAAATAACTCTTTGCTGCCTGCCTTTGAAGGAGAAGTGGACAGCAGTGTGTGTGAGCTCCCTTTAGAGCTGCGCCTCTGTGTGTGTCACTCTGGATAACGTTTTTTTTTTTACCACGTACACAGCACACTGTTAGCTCTCCGTGAGTTTAGAATACAGAAACAAATGTCTCTGGGTTTTCTCCTGATGTGGCCTTAACACGTCTCTATTTACTCACCTCTCATGTGGAAGAACTGAGTAAGCAATTGCTTGCCCTCATTACACTTTTTCTCCCTGTCCTGTCTTTCTTTTCTTTTCTGAAATCCTGATTTTCCTTTCTTTGGAAAAGACATTTCTATTTTTCCCGCTTCTGCCGCTGCTTGTCAAACAAGTCAACTCTCTGCAGCGGCAGCAACACAGCAACAAGCGCACATGTGGGTCGTACCATTTGATCTTTTGTAAGGGGGTGGCAGGGCCCTGATATAGCATACAAATTTGTTTTTAGAGGAACACTGAGGTTAAAACGTTGGTTATTTTTATACAGGGCCCCTTTCATTCAAATTGTAATAATATGAATATACCATAATTCCTAATACATATAAATATAAAGACACACTTTAGAGGGCCCCTCCCCGCCTTGGGCCCTGGGTACTCGGTACCCTTTACCCCCCCAGTCCGACGCCCATGCCTGTTATTAAACACTTGCTTTACCATTTTAACATCTTGGTTTTCATTTGTGGGGCGACAGTAGCTCAGTTGGTAGAGCATTGGCCTTCAGGCCTGAAGGTCGTGGGTTCAATTCCCACCTCTACACCTTCTCCACCGACTCCCACTGATGACTGCTGTCGTTGTGTCCTTGGGCAAGACACTTAACCCCACTTTGCCCAAAGCCCCCACTGAAAGATCAAGGCTATTCTCACACTCAGAGAGCAGCCGTCCTCCTGTGGACTCACCACCTGCAGAGGGTCAGTGAGGGGCTGGTGCTATGAGACTTGGGTGGCATCTCTGACTGCCACCCCGCTGACCCAGAAATGGATTAAAGGGAAGAAAATGTATGGATGGATGAATGGTTTTAATTTGTTACCTCCCTTACCCTAGCCGAGCTGGGTTGTAACAAAAGTGGGGGCTCGTCACCACAGCAGATTATAGAAATCATACTCACTCCACACACAGTATAATCAAACTGATCAATCATAAAACAGCTCTATTGAATAAGTCCTTGATCTGTTTATGGTCATTCAGATCATAGTGTCAGGAGCTAATGGGGACATGTCTGAAATACCTCTGGTGTTGGATGTTGTGGCAGGTGCAGGTAAAGCTTCTGCTCGTGCAGCAGCAGCTCTCATTCTAGTCACAGACAGACACACAATCCCGGTTAAATACATCAGGCCACGTTGTTGTGCGTCGTCTCCAACACGACAGCCCTGACAGCAGCAGACCGTTGTGTTGTGGTTTGAGGAGAACAGATTTTCTCGGTTTGATAGAGTGTGCGGCGCAGAGTGATGCAGGAGACACTCTGGAGGTGACAGATGTGGCCGTGTGGAGAACGGGTTATTGTGGATTTGGGGAAGTTTTAACTCGACTTGTTTGTCTTTGAGAGATGAATGTTCTTTACTTCAGAGACTACATCTGTGTGCAGTCAATGAAATACAAACATGTGTCATAAACTGAACGCTGCTTTTGATCCGGTTTCAAAAGACCACTGTACAATAAAATCCTGAAAATGTGAGACCAGCTTCTTCTCTGTTTTGTTCAGCACTTTGAGTTGTCTTGTGTATGAATTGTGCTATACAATTAAACTTGCCTTGCCTAAAAGCCGGAGGATAAAAGCAGGTGTAAAATACTTTAATAAAATCCATAAGAAAGCAATACAACTCTGTGTTATAAATTACAGAGAAGGACTGAAAAAATGGGGGCTAAAACCGGCGCTCAGCCTGCTCTCTCGGTTCTGACCCGTTCTGTTCGCTCTCCCGGTTCTTCGACCTTCCCGTGTCTGGCCCGTGTCTCGCTCTCTCTTGCCTCCCCCTCTTCCTCTCCCCATCCCTGCCTTTTGAGTCCAAAGCACAAGTGTCTTGCCGCGGTGCGTCAGGTGTAAAGTCAATGAAATATTAAAAACAGATGCATAAAAAGAACAGTTGGGGCGACAGTGGCTCAGTTGGTAGAGCCTTTAAGCCTGAAGGTTGTGGGTTCCAGTCCACCGCAAGACCTTCTCCACGGACTCCACTGATATCTGCTGTTGTTGTGTCCTTGGGCAAGACTTTTTACCAACTTTGCCTGTAAGGAGCACAGAAGTAATGTTTGCTGCATGCCTTGATTGTACTCATCAAACTGACTGTGACAAGGAGGCGCGAGCGGGCGGCGGTGGGAACACAGACCCCAGGGAGGCAGCCTTGGTGGTCCACGATTTTTTAGAATGTATTTTCCTTTTTTTGTGTAAAATGCAAAAATACCAATAAAGTGCATAGAGGACTCCAACGGTGTCGCCTATCCAGCAGCAGGACGTTCAGCAGTCTGAGCACTCCGAAGACGTACAATTGCTATACAGCCGTCTCGTGACTTTGAAGATGACGGCCCAGACCCTGGCGGCGATGGCTACAGGCCGCGGAGGGAGCCCAAACTTCCTTGTCTGGACACCGGAATACGTCCTTGAACATTTTTAATCACGTCTGAAAGGATGGCTTAGGTCTGTCGCTGGTCAGTGGAAGAGTGGGCGGTCCGTCTGGTTCCCCTGTTAACTCATTGACTGCAGTCGTTTTTGATGATTTCTCTGATTCTCAAGACCCACAGCATATTATTTCTTTAGACTATGTGAAAATTGAAACCAGATTCTGAAAGACTGGATTGTCTACTTTGATCAGCAAAAATAAGTTTGTTTTTAGCTATTTTTATTGTCCTGTAATCCCCGGTCGAATAAAGGGTCTAAGACAAATACGTCAATGGCAGTCAATGAGTTAACTGGCAAGGCATGTCGCGCTCTCGTGCTGATGGACCTTCGTTACTCGGACTACGAAAAGATGAAGGAGGCCGTTTTGACCGAATATGATATAACTAAAAAAACTTGTCAACTAGCCTCCTTGTCACTCTGACATTTCCCCAGTGTGGGACGAACGAAAGGACCTTATTCTTCTTCTTCTTAAAAACACATAAAACATTAATCAAAATCCACCATCTCTTTTGCACCCACCGATACATGTTTTCCCAAATCTTTTCTCTTTTCCTGAATCCCATAATGACTTTGGTGTTGTATTCTCCCTTAAAGACATAGTATAGAAAACAGTATTATTACATAAAGGATGAGAAATGCAAACGCAGGTCTATTCAATGGCATAGACTCTGGACACTGATCCAGGCCTCAGTCCATGACCCTTCTTCAAAGTCTAATCCAGGTCTGGTTTTATTCTGAGAGAAACCTGTCCCTGCTTCATGGAAGAATTGGATTTCCCCGCATTAAAATCTCTCTTTCTTTGACTCAGTTAAAGTTATGGAAGAAGATCAGGAAGATAATTGTGGTTCTCCATGAGTCTGGTTCATCCTTGGGAACAATTAAAAAATCTAAAAGGTTCTAGGTTGTACTTAATGCTTGCTTCTTCAGATAGATTCCTAATTATCCCAAAGCTAGAGATTTTGTTATACAGTAATCTATTTTATTTAGTAGAGAATTAGTATAGAGTTATTTAAGCATATTTTTGTACTCAAATGTGAACATCAGGGGAACTCGGGAAGCTTTCTCCCTGTATGAAACCAATGCATTATTATTATTACTATTATTATCATTTCACATCACATTGACTCTGGTGACAAACGGGAGCAGCAGAGATAAAGCGGCTGCGTCCTGTGGTGCAGGTGTGTGGCTGAAGTCGGAGGAGACGGTGGCCATGAAGACCAAGAGAGCGGATTTTGTGGCAGCTTATCTTCGCGGACGGATGATCGTGGCTGGAGGCCTGGGTGAGTAATGTGCTGCAGGCGTCGGGCTCCACCACAGTCACATTATTGAACTGAAAATGCAGCTGACAGCGGCTGAACTCACACACTACGACAGCGGGTCACAAATGTTATTCCGAGAAATGTGTGAAATCGACCTCAAGTTTGAAGAAGCTAAAATATGATGTAATGAGAAATGTTGTTAATCCTCTGGTGACCGAGCTCTTTCAGCGACAACCACGACAAAGAGGGTCATGTGTGACGTGTTGGAATATTTATTGTTCAGGAGTTCTTTGAATTTGTCATTAGAATGTTGTTTCATTTTAATGAATAATAAGTGGCTGAAATACTTTCCGGTTGTTGCATCTTAATTTACCTTTAGCTTCAGGAAGTCTGGACCAAGGGGTTCGTTTGTTCATCAGTTGTGTCAAAAGGAAGCATGGGCACTATTTGAAGTTTGGAGTCTTTAGTTTACTATTCACATGTAAACTGTCTGTGTGCGATTTAGTCCAGGTTCAAATCAGCATTCACAATATTTATTTCACTCTCTAATATATTTGTCCATCATCATTTTTAGACAAAAAAGCAGCCACCAACACAATGATAGAATGTTTCGATGCTTGTGCAGCTGTAAATCTCTATTCTCGGCTTGTTGTTCAAGCTTCCTATAAAACAGAAACATAGACAACTTAGAGCTGGCAGATTAGAAAACCATCTGAAGCTCTAATGTAAACAATATCATCGATACTTCCCACTCAGATTGGCCGATCTTTACAAGATTCAATGAACGGATTCATGAAAGGATACATTATAGAAAAATGGTGAACAAATACATGTGACTTAGCCTGGTTTTACCACACCATTGTATTAATTTAATTTCGTACTAAGGTCTGGATCTGCTCCATTGACTCTGTTAAAAGATGGGAGGGGTTAACTCCTTTTGCAGTTGAAGATGTCTGCCCCTGGTCTCTCCACGATGTCTGCCCCTGGTCTCTCCACGATGTTTGCCCCTGGTCTCTCCAAGATGTCTGCCCCTGGTCTCTCCAAGATGTCTGCTCCTGGTCTCTCCAAGATGTTTGCCCCTGGTCTCTCCAAGATGTCTGCCCCTGGTCTCTCCAAGATGTCTGCTCCTGGTCTCTCCAAGATGTTTGCCCCTGGTCTCTCCAAGATGTCTGCCCCTGGTCTCTCCACGATGTTTGCCCCTGGTCTCTCCAAGATGTCTGCCCCTGGTCTCTCCAAGATGTCTGCTCCTGGTCTCTCCAAGATGTTTGCCCCTGGTCTCCCCAAGATGTCTGCCCCTGGTCTCTCCACGATGTTTGCCCCTGGTCTCTCCAAGATGTCTGCCCCTGGTCTCTCCAAGATGTCTGCTCCTGGTCTCTCCAAGATGTTTGCCCCTGGTCTCTCCAAGATGTCTGCCCCTGGTCTCTCCAAGATGTCTGCCCCTGGTCTCTCCACGATGTTTGCCCCTGGTCTCTCCAAGATGTCTGCCCCTGGTCTCTCCAAGATGTCTGCCCCTGGTCTCTCCACGATGTTTGCCCCTGGTCTCTCCAAGATGTTTGCCCCTGGTCTCTCCAAGATGTCTGCCCCTGGTCTCTCCAAGATGTTTGCCCCTGGTCTCTCCAAGATGTCTGCCCCTGGTCTCTCCAAGATGTCTGCCCCTGGTCTCTCCACGATGTTTGCCCCTGGTCTCTCCAAGATGTCTGCCCCTGGTCTCTCCAAGATGTCTGCTCCTGGTCTCTCCAAGATGTTTGCCCCTGGTCTCTCCAAGATGTCTGCCCCTGGTCTCTCCAAGATGTCTGCTCCTGGTCTCTCCAAGATGTTTGCCCCTGGTCTCTCCAAGATGTCTGCCCCTGGTCTCTCCACGATGTTTGCCCCTGGTCTCTCCAAGATGTCTGCCCCTGGTCTCTCCACGATGTTTGCCCCTGGTCTCTCCAAGATGTCTGCCCCTGGTCTCTCCAAGATGTCTGCTCCTGGTCTCTCCAAGATGTTTGCCCCTGGTCTCTCCAAGATGTCTGCCCCTGGTCTCTCCAAGATGTCTGCTCCTGGTCTCTCCAAGATGTTTGCCCCTGGTCTCTCCAAGATGTCTGCCCCTGGTCTCTCCACGATGTTTGCCCCTGGTCTCTCCAAGATGTCTGCCCCTGGTCTCTCCACGATGTTTGCCCCTGGTCTCTCCAAGATGTCTGCCCCTGGTCTCTCCAAGATGTCTGCCCATTCACATCAGTGGCCTGTGCTCTTTGGCTCATGCTAGCACCTTGGACGTCCCAAACATGAGCAGAAGTGATGCCTGTTTTGACCAGCTCTGGTTCTCCTGGTCTTGTGCAGTAGTTCTACCGCCGCTGTGTGATCAATACAGTTTTAGCTTTTTTTTAAATCTTGTCCAAGCAATATGGGACAGTATTTTAATTGGCTGCTCAAAAGCTGTCAAAAAATGCTAATCAAAATGTGTACCGCAGCCTCCATTGTTCAAGCCAGGAAGAGATATGGAATTAGGAGCATGGTATTCACAGAAAACAAGACAGAAAGTAGAAAAGGCAAAAACAATGTGATGCAGATTTAGAGTTATAGTATCAGGAGGATAAGGATAAACTTTATTGATCCAGAAGGAAATGACAGTGGTGCCAGCTGCTCTCATTCACACAGTCACAGGTACACAACAAATAAATACTATAATATTATAAAAACAGTACAAAACAAACATCACCGGACGTCAAGGTCATTTGGCAATTATCACAGATCAGCAAAGGTCCACACGTAAAACTGACCCTGTGTGTGTGTGTGTGTGTCTGTGTGTGTACGTGTGTGTGTGTGTGTACGTGTGTGTGCGTGGTCAGGCCATGAGCCGTCAGCGCTGGACACGGCCGAGGCGTTCCACCCGGAGAGGAAGAAGTGGGAGAGGTTGGCTCCGATGACCTTCCCACGATGCTCCGCTTCCTCCATCGTCATTAAAGATCGCCTCCTGGTGGTGGGAGGAGTGAACCAGGTAACTACAAACTCACCTTATCCTAACAACACATGAGTAAATTGGAGAAAAACTGCAAAAAATGATAAAGTTATAAATACTTGAATTGAGTAGTTTTTTATCTTAACCACTCAATTCAAACAATAGCTGCAGGTGAAAGCCAGATCCTGTCAGACCCATGAAGCTAAGCAGGGTTTGGTTTTCTTTGTCCCATTGGAAAATCTTGTTTTAAGTCTCAGTCAAAATGTGCTCAAGTTAAAGGAGCAGTGTGTAAACATGTGGCCAAAAGTGGTACTGCAGCCTGTCCCACTCTCCCTGACTCAGGTTGCCAGATATGCAGACGAATCCAGCTGGGACCATAACAGCTGAATAGACAAGAGTTTTGTCAACAACAAATCTATAACCAACACCTTTTTCACAAAGATAGAAATCCTGGTTTTATTCCTTGTTTTGTCGTTAATGATTTGAGAATCATAACGAGACCTTTTTTAGTTCTGCGCCACATGGTACTTTACCAGTGAGATTAGCTCCACACGGTGAGTTCTGGCGCCCGGATCACAGACTTTCTGATTGGTGAAACGGTGGAGGGCGGGACATCGAAATGAAAACAATAACATTTAGAGGCTGGAAAAGTAATTTAGAAATTCAAATATCTCTGAACGACTGTTATCAGTTAAAGAAGTATCGGAAAAGAACAGTTTATTATTATGACAGATTAGGGCCCTTTAATGATGACAGATTAGGGCCCTTTAATGATGACGGATTAGGGCCCTTTAATGATGACAGATTAGGGCCCTTTAATGATGACGGATTAGGACCCTTTAATGATGACAGATTAGAGCCCTTTAATGATGACAGATTAGGGCCCTTTAATGATGACTTGACATGAAAATCTTACATAATGCTACATTTTTCCCCCAAATTTGAGCAATCTTTGACTTCTTTCCCCTCACTTTTTGCAGTGTATGTGTTTGGGAGTTGCTCAGAACCGCAGCAGGTTGAGCAGTTGAGCCGTAATCTCAGTAAAATAATGTGATTATTGTAATGAGGATGTGAGTAATTGTATTTGAGTCAACATTAGCCGACTAATACACACTCACTAAAGGTGGAAAGTGTGACAGATCTAATGTGTTTGTGATGATATGTGCTCGTGTAAGATTGAATCCACTAATCATCCTCGTTCCTAATCAACATCAGCGACGCAGCAGAACGGAGACGACAGAACGACATCAGAGGAAAGACAGACACCACTGCTTTCATTAGACATTAAATCATCACACCAAAAAGTTACAATTCTGTGAAAATCCACTGTTAAGAATTCATATCAAATGTTTTCACTGCAGAAAATGATGAAAAATAAGTCAAAAGTTGCTCAAATTCGGCACAGAGTACAATTTGAGAACATTCTGACTGAACAACATTTGCCGACGGGACAAAGTAAAATGATCTTGTTTTAAAAAGATACACCAAATGTCTCTCTGGGAATGAGAAAATAATTTCGAAATAAGACTAAATGGCTTTGTCCGATCGGCAAATCTTGTTTTAAGACGGAATGAGCTCAGATTAAGATAAAAACACTTGATTCCAGCATTCTTTGCCTCATATCTAAGCACTTGTTGCTCTAATCTAAACTTCCCGGAGGTACATTTCCATGGATCTATAATAATAACTGGATAGAGTATTACTAGCTTAGAGCTGTCCCACCCATGGCCACAGGGGGCGCTGTGGTACTGCAGACTAAATTCACGTTACCCAGAAAAAATGTCCCATAGAACTCAATGTGAATTAAAACAGCTCAACCTCAGAGAACCTGACAGAGAACCTGACAGAGAACCTGACAGAGAACCTGACAGAGAACCTGACAGAGAACCTGACAGAGAACCTGACAGAGAACCTGACCGAGAACCTGACCGAGAACCTGACAGAGAACCTGACAGAGAACCTGACAGAGAACCTGACCGAGAACCTGACCGAGAACCTGACAGAGAACCTGACGGAGAACCTGACGGAGAACCTGACGGAGAACCTGACAGAGAACCTGACAGAGAACCTGACAGAGAACCTGACAGAGAACCTGACAGAGAACCTGACAGAGAACCTGACAGAGAACCTGACAGAGAACCTGACAGAGAACCTGACAGAAACCTGACAGAGAACCTGACACCGAGAACCTGACAGAGAACCTGACAGAGAACCTGACAGAGAACCTGACAGAGAACCTGACAGAGAACCTGACAGAGAACCTGACAGAGAACCTACAGCTTTCATAATGACCGGATTTTGTGGGTACTTTAGTGTCCCTTGTCATCTTGTCCTACTGTTCTGTAACTTGTGATGCAACATTGACATTTCCCCGCTGTGGGACCAATAAAGGATCTCTTCATCTTCATCAACTCGTCATGGCCCAAGGTTTAGGAGTTTAGGACAATATGAATAATAGTGAAGAAAGGGAACCATATAAGGTCTGGCTCCGGACCAACTCCCGGTCCTGTGTCTCTGGGTGTAAATGTGCTAATTAAATAAACTTGACCTGAAACAGTTTATTTGGAGTTTTACAATCGTTATTTTCAGGCTTTTTCTCCACCTGTGAATGTTACTGCTGAAGAGCGTTCATGGTTTGACACTGGTGCAGACCAGAGCAGAGACGATGGTCCCAAACACACAGATCAAGCAGAAATGCTAAAGAATTCAGAATTTCACTCTGAACCAGAGCAGAGAAAATGGTCTGAACCAAACAGACTCTGTAAACTATTTAGATCGATCGATTCTTTATTGATCCCAGTAGAAAAAAGTCAGGAGTCCAGAAGCAACAACAATCTAACAATAGTAATAAAAACATCAGTCCTTCAGGTCACAGCAGGACCTGAAGGACTGATGTTTCTCTGCTCTGGTTTGGACCAGTGTAAAACCATGAATCCTCTCTGCTCTGGTCTGGACCAGTGTAAAACCATGAATCCTCTCTGCTCTGGTTTGGACCAGTGTAAAACCATGAATCCTCTCTGCTCTGGTCTGGACCAGTGTAAAACCATGAATCCTCTCTGCTCTGGTCTGGACCAGTGTAAAACCATGAATCCTCTCTGCTCTGGTCTGGACCAGTGTAAAACCATGAATCCTCTCTGCTCTGGTCTGGACCAGTGTAAAACCATGAATCCTCTCTGCTCTGGTCTGGACCAGTGTAAAACCATGAATCCTCTCTGCTCTGGTCTGGACCAGTGTAAAACCATGAATCCTCTCTGCTCTGGTTTGGACCAGTGTAAAACCATGAATCCTCTCTGCTCTGGTCTGGACCAGTGTAAAACCATGAATCCTCTCTGCTCTGGTTTGGACCAGTGTAAAACCATGAATCCTCTCTGCTCTGGTCTGGACCAGTGTAAAACCATGAATCCTCTCTGCTCTGGTCTGGACCAGTGTAAAACCATGAATCCTCTCTGCTCTGGCTTGGACCAGTGTAAAACCATGAATCCTCTCTGCTCTGGTCTGGACCAGTGTAAAACCATGAATCCTCTCTGCTCTGGTCTGGACCAGTGTAAAACCATGAATCCTCTCTGCTCTGGTCTGGACCAGTGTAAAACCATGAATCCTCTCTGCTCTGGTCTGGACCAGTGTAAAACCATGAATCCTCTCTGCTCTGGTCTGGACCAGTGTAAAACCATGAATCCTCTCTGCTCTGGTCTGGACCAGTGTAAAACCATGAATCCTCTCTGCTCTGGTCTGGACCAGTGTAAAACCATGAATCCTCTCTGCTCTGGTCTGGACCAGTGTAAAACCATGAATCCTCTCTGCTCTGGTCTGGACCAGTGTAAAACCATGAATCCTCTCTGCTCTGGTCTGGACCAGTGTAAAACCATGAATCCTCTCTGCTCTGGCTTGGACCAGTGTAAAACCATGAATCCTCTCTGCTCTGGTCTGGACCAGTGTAAAACCATGAATCCTCTCTGCTCTGGTCTGGACCAGTGTAAAACCATGAATCCTCTCTGCTCTGGTCTGGACCAGTGTAAAACCATGAATCCTCTCTGCTCTGGTCTGGACCAGTGTAAAACCATGAATCCTCTCTGCTCTGGCTTGGACCAGTGTAAAACCATGAATCCTCTCTGCTCTGGTCTGGACCAGTGTAAAACCATGAATCCTCTCTGCTCTGGTCTGGACCAGTGTAAAACCATGAATCCTCTCTGCTCTGGTCTGGACCAGTGTAAAACCATGAATCCTCTCTGCTCTGGTCTGGACCAGTGTAAAACCATGAATCCTCTCTGCTCTGGTCTGGACCAGTGTAAAACCATGAATCCTCTCTGCTCTGGTCTGGACCAGTGTAAAACCATGAATCCTCTCTGCTCTGGTCTGGACCAGTGTAAAACCATGAATCCTCTCTGCTCTGGTCTGGACCAGTGTAAAACCATGAATCCTCTCTGCTCTGGTCTGGACCAGTGTAAAACCATGAATCCTCTCTGCTCTGGTCTGGACCAGTGTAAAACCATGAATCCTCTCTGCTCTGGTCTGGACCAGTGTAAAACCATGAATCCTCTCTGCTCTGGTCTGGACCAGTGTAAAACCATGAATCCTCTCTGCTCTGGTCTGGACCAGTGTAAAACCATGAATCCTCTCTGCTCTGGTCTGGACCAGTGTAAAACCATGAATCCTCTCTGCTCTGGTTTGGACCAGTGTAAAACCATGAATCCTCTCTGCTCTGGTCTGGACCAGTGTAAAACCATGAATCCTCTCTGCTCTGGTTTGGACCAGTGTAAAACCATGAATCCTCTCTGCTCTGGTCTGGACCAGTGTAAAACCATGAATCCTCTCTGCTCTGGTCTGGACCAGTGTGAAACCATGAATCCTCTCTGCTCTGGTCTGGACCAGTGTAAAACCATGAATCCTCTCTGCTCTGGTCTGGACCAGTGTAAAACCATGAATCCTCTCTGCTCTGGTCTGGACCAGTGTAAAACCATGAATCCTCTCTGCTCTGGTCTGGACCAGTGTAAAACCATGAATCCTCTCTGCTCTGGTCTGGACCAGTGTAAAACCATGAA